GCTCAAAGCAAGGAGGCCAAAGATGACTTGTTTTGTTGCTGTTGCTGGTGTTGTTTTGTTGTTCTGGGGGTGAAGAGGCAAGAGCTTTCTCCCAGAATTACATCCCAACTCCTAATTCTTAGTCTGATTTGGAGGAACCTATGTTTATAAACCTCTCACCAGAGTGTACAGAACAACAACAAACAGGAGAAAGACCTCAGCTCCTCCCACACTGCAGAGATGGGCTTCTAAAGAAGGTCCTTCTGTATCACAGTAGGGTATAAAAGCACTTTACCAAGGTCCCTCTGCTGAGCCAAGGCAGCGAAACCCTCCAAGGAGCTCCCAGTGAAAACAATAAAGAATGAGAAAAAGAAAGCTCTGGCTCCAAACCCACATCCCTCCCATCAAATACCCGAATCTCACATAGCACCTAGGACGGTTCTTGCCCTAACATTTGCTGAACTCCTCTTAAATACAAACCATATGAGAATACAAAAGGGTCAAGAGAAAAGTTGTGACCATTGCTGAGTGCCTGACAACTGCCAGATATCCACGTCAGGGCACATAAGGGACATTTCTTAGTCACCTGCCCACAAAAAAAAAAAAAAAAGTTTGCAAAGTCACTGACAATATCTAAAACAGATTTAAGGTATAACTTAAAGTACATTTACATGGTATAGAAAGCTCCTGGGATGAAGACACCAGAGGCTGGCATTAAGAAATGTCTGAGATACTATAAAGAGACAAAGGATGAAGTCACCTACGAGTCCCAAAATCTAAAATCAAGAGCAGAAGAAATACAAGGCCTGATCAGGTTTGATCCTCAGCACCAAAAGAAAAAGGGAAAGGAAAAGAAAAAGAAAAAGAAAAAAGAAAAAAAACAAACTTGTACATCATATTGGTAAACTGCTGTGTGTTGTTTGAGCTACTGAAAAGCTGGCTTTGGGGGCTGGGCTGACAACTCCTATTTCTGACCCATGTTGGTCTCAAAGTCCAAGGTCTGGATGGGCTGGCTCCCCCAACTGTGTGATAGGAAGGGAAAGGAACAGCAAAACAACCCAAGAGTGAAAGCACTGCCCATGAGAACAGCTAGAAGGTGATCCAATTCCAGGAGGTTCCTATCATTTATCCCAGCATGTAAAAGTGCCTACAGAGGAATCTCAGACACCAAGGAAAAGCTCATCTGGGAACTCCAGTTGACTATCTGAACTTCCTCTGTCGGTTTTTGTTGGATGCAGCAAGTGTCCAACTTGATATTGTCTCTCTCTCTCTGTTGCTATTTGTTCCTTTACTGAAAAACTTCAGCAAACGGGGCACTCTTTTCTGCCCTCGACTCTCTTTTCTGCCACCTGGATACCTTAAAGGGGTTTCCTCAGTAGATTTCTACTGGATTTTTTAAAAATATCCAATGTGATGATTTCTCTCTCTTAATAAACTCACTCATTTGAAACTGAAAATAAGCCTATCATAGACCATTCTCAGGACTATACAAAACATATTACTATTTTGCAGACAGTATGACTGTTAGTGAAACTTTAAACTCACAACCTTCATGGGGGACAATTAAAACATAAATAACAGCTGGATGTGGTGGCACATGACTAATCTCAGCAGCTGGAGTTGGAAGGAGGAGGATCGGGAGTTCAAGGTCATCCTCCTTCATACTGCCAGCTGGAGGCAGGTATCGACTAGGAGACCCAGTCTCAAAACAACACAAACCACATAACTTTACACAAGGCAGTAGGTCTACTGGGAATTCATGCTCAAAATGGGGTGCAAACAAAGTTATTCAAAACGTCGTTATTTGCAATAATACGAGATTAGAAACTATTTCGATAAGGAAATGGTGACATAAAGTATGAGACATCCATACAAGGAACTTCCACAGAACAGTTCAAAGACTGTGCTGCAATGGAAATAGCTACATTAAAAAAAAAAAAAAATCTTTAAAGAGATGAGGTACTGATGAGGCCGGTCAGTCGAGCTTTGTGGAAGAGCGCACCTGCCAGCTTCTCACTACCGCAATTGCTTTCCGCTGCCCGCCCCTAAAACACCTCTGACAGCCTATCTGAGGGACCCCGTGGCTTCCCCGCCGTGGCTCACCTCCCGGGCCCCACAGTCTGAGCGCGGCCAAAGCCAGTCGACCGCTCAGCGCCATGATGCTCTGCTGGGAGACGGCACCTAGAGGGTCAAGTGCCATCCGAATCCCCGCCCCCTTGCGCCAAGCCCCGCCCGATACCCTTACCCCG